TCACATGTCTGAACTGCTTTGGCAAAACATCAAGTGATGAATTTGAACATGCTATTGGCAATGAGAAATAATGCAACCAATTGCGCATTTCGTTGGAAATGACATCTCGAATCTGTGTACGTTCAAAGCATGCCATTATCTCGCCTGTTATTTGAGTGCATTCGGACCCGGGATCTAGGAATTCATTTTTTCCCCAGCAAGATGGATACTGAGTAGTATCATTGCCCAATGTTCTTACATAGCAGGCATGATTAGGTTTCAAAAGTCTTGGTTGGGTAGGCTTTATGCGATGCTAAGTCTCGTGGGAGCTGGCAATTGATTGCTCATTTGGCTTCAAATTGATACCAGTACAAAAACACTCCACAGTCTCGCTTCGCCCATATTTAGAGCATCATTGCTAACAGGGGATTTGGAATCCAGCCAGTCTTCAATATGTCTTCAAACATATCTTTCCTTTACCGACTGCGGCGTCTGGAGCACATCTGTCATTCCTTCAGAGAGATGCCAGGCCTCACAAATTCTTGGAATATGCTATTTTTATGGTAGTATGACAAGGGAAACAATGGAGACCGTCATAAATGGCGATATACTCCGAGTAATCGATTCACGTTGCATTTACTCCACGATAATGTCAGGAGCTAAGATTCGGGGGATCTCCAACGGTAAATGATTTGAAACTCCGTAACATTCTGATAAAGGAAGGTGTGGATGGAAAAGATATTTTGGCTTGCGACAGGTATCGTTATCGTTAAGAGGGACAGGGCATGACTTTGTAGCATCACGGGCCTTAACTGCCCCTCTCAGTCCTGATACCATCATGGACTGCAATCCACGTACGTAAATCTACGACAAGATCTTTTAGAGGAGGCAATCTCCGCTGAGCACAAGGAATGTATGGCTGCAACTATCTTTCTTCCTGCAAAGAAGTGTTTAAGGTTAATCATCCTTGGGGTGTCAATGATCAATCTGTGCCCGGGTTCGCTGATCTCCAGTTTAGAGCAAGCAAAGTTTCAAAGATTCAAAATCACTCTTTGGATTTTCTCCACCCTTCGAACAACAGCTATATGTTTGAGTCTAAATCAAGATGCCCATCAGAATTTACTAGGAATTGGAGATAAATTTATCTGCACATGGCAAGCACGGAAGTGGCTTTACCCCAGCAAAGTATAATTACCCCGATACCAATAAGTAAGACTGACAAAATTCAATCTCAAAACACTCGTCAATCTGACCAGGAACCCATTTCAAGAAACAATGCGCAGCCCTTGAGCTGACCTTGGCCCAATTTCGTGTCAGCTGATGTTACATCTACGCCCAAAAGAAGACACTTACCACAAGAAGCGAACATGATTTTTCCAGGTATGTCATCCTCATCCTGCCAAATCACACCCAGTAAAATTCGAGAATTTCAAACTTACATTAACGGCATGCGAAACGTGTCTAAGAAGCTATTCTGCCGTAAAAATTATGTTTGGCAGGATCACATCTTCCGTTATTTGAGGAGGTGCACAATTTTGCTCACTCCTTATACACTGAGCCACCATGCCGAGCATGTATGGAAACTCGTTCGTAAGATCCTCTTTGGCTGATTTCTGCAAGTGCTTCATAGTAAGTCCTATCTCTATATATACATTCTCGAGTTTCTTCACCGGAAATGTTTTTCTTGCATCATCAAGTTTTTCCATTTCCAGTTTTCAATACTTCAAAAGCTTTTCAGCTTATCGTCATTCCTTGTTTTCAGGCTTAGTCCTACCCACATTCTTTTCTGTTTCAAAACACACACATATATTTACAAAATGCATTACTCCTTTGCTTTGTCAGCTTTCGCTGCCCTCGCCTCAACGGCATCTGCTTCGCTCATTATCAACAACTGGTCAGCATACGTACTTTCAATATCGTTCAAGTTATTGCTAACGTGCGTCTAGGTGTTCTACAGATGTATACCTCTACAAGTCAAACAATGGAGGTTGCAATGCCGGTACTAATGGAGCTTGTTCCACTGCTTCCAATGCTAGCCCTTGGATCATCAAAGCAGGAAAAGGATCTAGCAGCACCCTTACCCTTCCATGGGACACCGATGGACACGGAACATCAATCAAGATCGCCAAGACATCCAACTGGAAAACCACCCCTTCGGTTCTTCAATTCGAATATGCTTGGACAACTGGCCAATACTCTGGCCTTTACTGGGATCTCAGCGATTTGGACGGTTCCGGGGCTGGGCTGGTTGGAACTCCTTTCATGAATGATAACGTGAAAGTTACCCCATCTGGTACTGGCAGCGGATCAGGAACTTGCGTGAAGCTCAAGTGCCCTGCAGGTGCTCTATGCAAGGATGCGTACAACACCCCCGATCAAACCGCCACCCGATCCTGCCCATTGAAAACCGGAACCATGTGGTTGGATCTGTGTGAGCCAACCGGCGGCTTCAATTCCAGGAGGGAAATTGGCTTTGCGGCTTAGTCGTTGTTGATGATGGAGCTAAATTTTGGGGGATGGGATGATCTCGCTTATGGTCATGCTTTATAGGAGAAAACTTGCCTGGTTGCTAGAGTTTTCTTTTCATATGTTCATATATTTGTGAGGGGGCGGGAGTAGTGCGGCACCATTGTATGATAAATATGCTGGTGGCTAATTTATCTCATATGTTCATGTACAACCAAATTTAAATACCATGGGGGCGTTGAAGGAGCAAGGCAAATGATACCCTTTTCTTTGCTTTGAATTTATCCGTTCTATAACCAGCATCTCTGAACCAAATCGGAACACAGGTCATTATGTTTCGTCATGATTTTCCAGCAGTGCTGTTGAAGAAGAGGAAGATACCACGTTTCAGTTTCGATTTGTCTGTCATCGATCCTAAAATACGACACTCATAACATTCCCCTGTGGCGGAGTGCAGAAGTGTCAGACGAACCCTGGTTTGAGATTCTGAGACAATGCAATCTTGCTATTTGAATAGAGCCTTAGTACATCGTAAATATATCTGTTGCGTCACCACCGCAGACTTGGCTTTTGAACATCTTCTGAGTTCCAACTGACCACAAGTTTCTGATGCTCGAGTAAGTTGTCTTGTAGAACAGAAAATCGCGGATAAGGTCTTAAGCGGCTACTCGTATGTGATTGGCTGGGCCAGACGTCGGACTCTCCACACACTACATCTCCCCGAACTTCAATGCCGATGTTCTCTTCCCCAGGAAACATATTAATCAATGAATGGGGTAAGTTTTGCTGTAAGTTACTGATTTTTTCATTTCCTTCTATTTATATTCTCTCTTCTATCATTACAGTATTTCGCATACTCGTCGTGGTTAATTGAGACAGGAAACCGTTCAATTGACAAATCGTCAAGAATTAACTACCCCTCCATCCCAATCTCCCCTCAATCCACAAACCAATATGTCAACCGGACCTCTTCGCAGAGGTCTCTCGCAGATCCTCAAAAAAGACCCCTCAGACATCGTAATTCTCTCTTCCCTCCGCACCCCCATAACCCGTTCCTACAAAGGACAGCTCTCCTCCGCATACCCCGAACAACTCTTACACAGCGTTCTCAAAGCCACCCTCTCTGCCAATCCCTCTCTCGACCCCGCTCTCATCGACGACGTATGCGTGGGCGTTGTTCTCTCTGAGCTCGGCGGCTCGAAAGCCGGTCGTATGGCGATGAACCACGCGGGCTACGATACCCGCACCTCGTTTTCGACAACCAACCGCGCGTGCAGTTCGGGATTGCAGGCTATTACCAATATCGCAAATTCGATTGCGACGGGCGGGATTAATATCGGTGTTGGAGGCGGAATGGAAAGTATGACGAGGAATTATGGTTCGAAAGCTATTCCTGTGGATTTGTGGCCGGAGCTGAAGGATGCGGAGAGAGATACGAAGGATTGCATTATGCCAATGGGTCTGACGAGCGAGAATGTAGCGAGTAGATATGGAGTTGGCAGAGAAGAACAGGATAAATTGGCGGTGGAGAGTCATCGTCGTGCGGCGGAGGCACAGGAGAAGGGGTGGTTCGATGAGGAAATCGTGCCGGTTACTACCATGTGGCAGGAGACTGGTAAAGGAGGCGTGAAAGTAGGAGAACCTAAGGAGGTTACTGTTACAAAAGATGATGGGATTAGAAAGGGTGCTACGTTGGAGAGTATGCAGAAGCTAAAGCCTGCGTTCAAGGAGGATGGTGCTTCGACTGCGGGTAACTCGTCGCAGATTTCTGATGGTGCAGCAGCTACATTGATGATGCGTCGTAGCACTGCTACCTCGCTTGGATTATCTTCTTCGATTGTTGGTAAATGGGCCGGTACAGCAATAGCTGGATGTCGTCCAGATGAAATGGGAATCGGACCTGCGCTCGCAATTCCAAAGTTGATGGAGCAAGCTGGCATTCAAAAGGAAGAGGTAAATGTATGGGAGATTAACGAGGCATTTGCTAGTCAAGCTATCTATTGTGTGAGGGAATTGGGATTGATGGGTGCATATGAGAAGGGCGATGTGAATCCAAAGGGAGGAGCCATTGCATTGGGTCATCCATTGGGTGCTACTGGAGCAAGAATGGTGGCAGGTTTGTTGGCAGAGTTGAAGAGAAGAGATCAACAGGTGGGTGTTGTCAGTATGTGTATTGGTACCGGAATGGGAATGGCAGGAATGTTTGTTAGGGAATAAGTAACATAAGGAAACACAAAAACTTGTATCAATTATTGGCTTGCATGAGTTGTACGAGATAGGTATTTGGCACATTAAAATCTGATTATCGAGTTAACAATTTCTTGTTTGAGGCCTAACGGTTCAGGTACTTTGATTGTCCCTGTCGAAATTTGACAATTGAATAATTAGGTAGTCTCCAAAGACTCCGGCCATTGAGTACCTCCAGCTAGTCCTTTCCTTTTCCAGCCACAACCTTGAGCTTAAGTCCTTTTCAACGTTTTCAATGTCCCAATTCGAATTTGACAATCGAATGAGCTCCCAGGCCAGCAATTATATTTGTATTACTACATATCTTATTAATGTCTCCAAAGGCGCACTGCCTTATCTGCTCCACCACTGCCCACTTTTTCTCCATCCGGACTCCAGTCTACGGCATAAACTTCGTCTTTATGGCCAGGTAAATCTGTGATCATTGTGTCAGCTTTTTATGTACATTTGAATGTCGAACTTAAATTGGAACATTGTGATGTAAACATACCTTTAGCTAACTTGTGGGTTGCCATGTCCCATACTTTCAGTGTTGTATCCTTACTACATGTCACTAATAGCCTAGAATCAGAGCTAAAAGCGCATTGGTAGACGGGTGCAACATGACCTCTCAATGTATTGATGAACTTTCCATCGCGGGCGTTCCAGATCTTGGTATGGTTGTCGAAACCAGAGGAGGCAATGAGTAGTCCATCGGGCGAGAAAGCTACATGGTTCACTTGTTTTTGATGACCTAACATTCGTGCTATAGGCTTCGTTTGCTTAGAAGGTTCCCAGAGATACATGGTGAAATCGTCACTGGCTGTGACAAGGCGTTCCACGACTTCACCCTGAATTCGGGAGGCTTTGAGGAAACGCTCCTCTGCTTTCTTGACCTTTTCCTCCTCTGTTGCAGGGACCTTGCCAGTGTGGTCGAAGTAGCCGGTTCGCGTGACAAATTCTGTCGATAGTGCGAGATGGTTGACCCAGTGCGCATGAGCATTAAGAGAGTGTGCGAGAGTTCCGTCCTTTGCATTCCAAACTTTGACAGTCTTATCGCGGGATGCGGTATATATAAATCCAGTTCCTCCCCATTTAACACATGATACTGCGTCTTTGTGTCCAGTTAAGACCAATTCAATCGTCTGTTGATTAGTCGACCATACTCTAACAGTAGAATCTTTAGAGGATGAGGCCAGTCTAGGTTCTCCCGGTTTTTGAACGTGATACGGCTCCCAAGCAAGATTTGTGACCCATTTTGAGTGTCCCTTCATTGGTCTGCCTAATTGCTTTCCGGTTTTAGGATCCCATATCCTGACAGTGTTGTCCATACTACCCGTCGCAATCCTCGACTCATCCGGCGACCAACTAACAGCCAATACCCAACTTGTGTGCCCCTTTAACGTGTGTACCGGGGTTCCTGTATCGCAGTCCCAGATACGTGCCGTGTTGTCTCCGCTACCACTGACCATTCTGGAGGAGGACCTAGGAGAAAATTGTGCGACTAAAATGGATTCGCCATGGCCGGGAATAGTGGAAGCGCATCTCGAAACTGATTGGACTTTAAATACAGCTTGTGGTGCTGCTGAAATATTTTGGGTCTCTTCGGTACTTATTAGACCCGGTTTTATCAAGGTTTTGTAGACTTCAGTAGGGTAGGCGGTTGTAATCTTCTCTGCGGACTTCTTGTCTGATACGGGTAGGGTAAATCTGTATGGAATATACTCTGAAGAGTCCTGGGATAATTGTTAGCTCTAAAGATTCAAGACCGTTGTGAGCAATGATAATTCTTCAATCTTCAGGATATTTGCGAACAATCAAAAGCTTTCAATCTTCAGGATAATTGCGAACAATCAAAAGCTTTCAATCTTCAGGATATTTGCGAACAATCAAAAACTTTCAATCTCCAAAATATTTGTGAGAAACCGTAAGGTTTGAATGTCCATAATCGAAGCCAACAATGACAGCCTTTTGATTGTCTGTAAGATATAGAAACAATGATAGGCCGAGAGTTTCCATAGTATTCTTGAAAAATAGTAAACTTACATGTCCTAAAAGAGTATTCAACAATAGCTCCAGATTCTTTGGGTCTGCGTTTGCGACTGGTACAAGAACTGGCCCATTGCCGATAGGAAGACCTGTAGTTTCGTCGAAGAACTGGATTCGAAGACTTCCTGCGTCACTGGGTATTTCCTCAATGTCTTGTTGCGCTCTCGATCTCTCGAAAGCATCCGTTCTCTGCCTTTTGCTTGGGGGTGGAAGTTGGGTCGACATGGTGGAGAAGGAACAGTCTGATCGATGAAGTATTTCCAAAGAGTTGCAAAGTAAGAACAGACTTGCCTCTTCGCAAGTTCTGATGGAGAGGATGTAGATATTAAAAGAGGAAAGGTCCTTTGCGGGGATATTTCTGGAAATTTATAGTCATCAAGGATTATTACGCTAACAAGACTAAAAGTGAATTCTTGCGTCTTGATTCAACTTTTTTCAACAAGATTTTGTGGGGCTAGCCTTGTTGGCTTATCATCGATAAGGACTTGATTAGTCACTGATCAACAAGCCAATCATTCACAGGATTGAAATCTGCAGTAACCCGATCAAGATGATCTGCGCAATCTCCAGTGCTCTCCCCACATTTCCTGCCAATCTTTTCTTGTCATCACATGCAAACTATTCCAACTCTCGCAAGATACTAGAGTAGTGGTATCCATTCATCAATGAGGACTAAAATCATTCATCGTCACTTCACTTCATCGTCTCATCATCTCATCACCTCATTACAATTACAATCCAATTAGCTGATTCCGTTGATACGGGAAGAAGAGTCATATCGTCGTTGGATCTCAGCAATCAACGATCCATCCATCCACTTTGATACTCGAACTAATACTTTAGTTGTTAACTCGTGATACTTCCACAGATTCGACGTTACATATACTTCAAAGGAATGCTAGGTGGTATTGAGCATGGCTTCATTATCAAGACCCTCAACGTCTTACAGTACTAACTCTACGTCTTCTCCGTGTGGGTACACAAACTCTAATTCGTATTCCTTGCCTCCTCATGGTCGTCGCTCAAGCACTGCTCGTCCTAGTACAGCCCGCCCAAGCACTGGACGTAGGTCACGGGCAAGTTCCATTCTTGGAGGGGGTGAGTCTCAGCAGATCATTTGTGCTGTCAGTGAAGGTCGTGGAGTATCTCCGACTGTCGGATTAGCATTTGTCAACATTTCAACTGGCGAAGCAGTCCTCAGTCAGATCTGCGACAATCAGTTCTATGTCAAAACTCTTCATAAATTGCAGGTCTTCGAACCTACCCAGATTTTGATTGTATCTACTTCCGGGCCTCCGAACCCGAAATCTAAGATGTATCAAATTGTGGAAGAGAACATATTGGGAGCCAGAATTGTTACAGTAGATCGTCGTTACTGGTCAGAAACGTCTGGTATTGAATACATCCAGCAATTGGCGTTCAAAGAAGATCTTGAGGCGATCAAGGTGGCTATCGGAGGCAACTACTTCTCAGTGTGCTGCTTTTCTGCTGTAAGCTTTCACAGCAGCCCTTTGCCCCCTCTTCGTGATAATTTCTAACATATACAACATATGTAGGCATTGAAATACATTGACATGAGCCTTTCTCTTACTTTTGCATTTCACTCTCTGCGAGTTAAATACCAACCCTCGGAGGACTCTATGATGATAGATCTTGCTACCATTCAATCACTTGAACTAATCCAGAATTTGCAGAATGCCAAGTCAAAAGATTGTTTATTTGGACTGATGAACGAGACGCTGACACCAATGGGATCACGATTGTTGAGAAGTAATATTTTACAACCTTCGACCCAGACAACCTTACTAGCTGCCCGTTACGACGCATTGGCCGAATTGTCGGAAAATGATGACATGTTCTTACAGACCAGACAAGGTTAGTCCTACGTCCATATGTTTGTGTGCTCTCGACGTGGAAATGGTTTCATCGCTCTTCCTGTCGACGCATAGTCCAATCATACTCCCATGTTTCGTTCCTTACTAATCAAGTTGTAGCTTTGAAGTTGATTCCTGATATTGAAAAGTTGCTTACTTGTGTATGCCCCCGAGTCTGTTTGTTTGTGCCAACATCCCCTGACATTCTGTAGCTTATTATCATCCCGACTGTATCAGGTATTTGGAATTCTGAGCAAGATATTAACAACATTCTGATGTTGAAATCCTTTGCACATTCAATCGGTCCAGTCTTTAAAAGTCTATCAGGTGCTCGATCAGAGCTATTGGTTCAGATACGTGATAATTGTCGTACAGAAGTGGTCGAATCTACAATACAGTTCATTGATGAGGTCATAAATGAGGATGTTACATACCAGAAGACTCCTCTAGATCTACGAAACCAACGGACATATGCTGTGAAAGCGGGGGTCAGTGGTTTCTTGGATGTGGCACGCCAAACCTTCAAAGAGGCGACTGAAGATGTACATCAGCATGTGTCAGAACTCAATCGTATGCTTACCTTCTTCTGATGTACTGCATTTTGCTCATATTGGTGGCAGAGAACTATAAAATTCAAGGGGAAATTAGATTCGATAATCTCCGAAAATACTACATTCGCTATTCCGAAAATGAATTTGATGATCGAGCCATACCAGATGTACTCATTAATCGATTTCGCAGAAAATACTATCTCGAATGCCAGACTCTAGATTTGATAAAGCTCAACCAGAAAATTGAAGATTCTCACATAGAAGTTATCTTGGGAAGCGATAAAACCATACAGGAACTCCTCGAAAATGTACGAACCGAAATTCCCAACCTCTTTAAAGTGTGTGAGAGTATTGCCATGCTCGATATGATTGCTTCCTTTGGGCAAATAGTCACGAACCAAGATTGCTACGTCAGGCCGGAGATTACTGATTGCATTGCTATCAAGTCTGGACGTCATCCCATTCGGGACAAGGTATGTAGGGCTTAATCTACATCGTTTCAAAATACTAATTCATCTCTCTCTAGGTGCCATCACACAAATTTGTACCCAACGACTATTACGCAACGCAGCAATCCCGTTTTCAAATTATAACCGGATGTAACATGAGCGGAAAAAGTACGTACATAAGAGGGGTCGCTCTTATGAGTGTGATGGCGCAAGTTGGTTGTTTCGTACCAGCAAGCTATGCATCTTTTCCAATAATTCATCAACTTTTTGCCCGCGTGTCAATGGACGATAGTATCGAAGCAAACGTTTCTACATTCGCGTCTGAAATGAGAGAAACAGCATTCATCCTTAGGTTCATTCCAGATTTTTCTCGCATTTTCATTTTACTGACTCATGGTTATAGAAATATTGATGAGAAGAGCCTTGCCATAATTGATGAACTTGGTCGTGGGACCAGTACAAGAGACGGTCTAGCGATCGCTCTAAGCATTGCAGAAGCATTATCAGAGAGCCGAGCACTCATCTGGTTTGCCACCCACTTTAAGGAGCTTGGTTCGAAAAAACTCGTTATGATCTGATGAGTATGCTTGCTAACAAGAATAAGCACAAATCATGTCTGAGCGCCCTGGGGTTAAAGTCTACCATTTGTCAGTTGACATGAGCGACCCGACCACCATGACAATGCTCTACAAGCTTGATCAAGGCTGTGTTAAAGAACAACACTACGGTCTCGCTCTAGCGCGTGTGGTTGATCTACCTCCAAAAGTGCTCACAGTGGCAGAGGAAGTATCAAAGACTCTCATTGCACAAGCTGCTGCGAGGAAGAAGTCTTCTAGGACTTCAGCGATTGATAAACGAAGGAAGCTTCTGAATGCACTAAGAGAGCAACTCAAACAGCTTCTTGATAGCCCAATGGAGAATCAAGAATTGCTAGAATGGATTGGAAAATTGCGCAGAGAATTCATAATTCGTATGGAAAATATAGAGATTGTAATGGTGGATAGTGAGACAGAAGATTCAGAAGATGAAAGCGCAATTGAAGAAAGCGAAAGTATTTTCAGTGGGGATCTGAGAAGTGAAGAGACAGTGGCAAGCGACGGTACTTGAAGTTATGAATTCACAATCACTTAGCCTAAAGAGCCTCCTAAGTATGACTAGGTATGAGAAAGATATCTTTTGAGATGTGCCGCAAACGCCAGATCAAGAAGCACTGCAATACTAATCTCGAATAAAATTTGGAAGTCCATTATGATCCCTTCTTTTCAAGCCATTTGGAGACCCAGAAATAGAAATAAGCACTTTTCAGTATATTGCCATTGGCCATTGTGTTGATGTATTTAGGCATGCAGCAGTACGTGCGTGGGAGTGTATATGGAAATCTCAAGCACGAAAGATGAGGGCAATTTGATTTCGAAGTGCTCCCATTGTCTATCAACGTTGTCGTTGGCATTCGTGTAGTAAGTCGAGAGCTAAGGTCATGAAGCAAATAGATGGCGGAAGTGTGTTCTTTTTGAGAATCGGTAGAAGGACTGGAAGGTATTATTTGATCGTGTAATCAATGAAATCATAATTGAGGACCTCGGGAGGCTCATTTGGTGTTTAGGTTTGGAATGAAATATAATGCGATAACAAGATGCAATTATGATTGACTTGCCTATTATTGACAGCAAAAATAGAACGACTTCTTGCACAGGACATATTTCGGAAGGTACCACAACCACTCTCCAACCATCACAGCCCCTTCCCGAAACTAGCTGCCATGCTGATCATCACGCAAATGTCACACAACAGGTCGTACGACATCCACCACATAAAATCATGACAAAAGACCATTTATGCAAGCGACCGAACAATTACATGACATGCTCTCCTCATTTTGCCAACATGTGTATGCTGTTTCAAAATGCGGGGTGGACCATTGCGCCCGCTCAGATGATGTGTGGGGTGATTTCATCAGCATCGTACGACCTCTTCGTCTGAGGTGAGGAATCCTGCGGTTTTCACAACAATTGTGTTGGCTGATGAGTGGTATGAATTGTATTGTATGCAATGGATTTTAAATGAAGATGCGAGGGAGGATTTTTTGATATTCGGTATATAATATCAATAACAAGTAAAGATTGCTACATTTCCTCACACATTGTCCGAGATCTAAATCAATTGAAACTCTTCCTCTACTATCACTCTCACAATACCACATACAACCACCATAAAATGTCCATGATGGCAAAACGCGAAGCAATCGTCATGACCGTCGCTGCAATCGGGGGTCTCATCGGCGCCAACGCCTTCCTCAAGCCTTCTCCTCACCACAGCATCAAGGCGGGGATGGATTCGCAATTACATTCCTATAATGTTCATACCAAACCGCATATTGAACAAGATCCTATGTATGTATTACTTTTTTGTGATTTTCTATCGGTGCGTGGATGTGTATTTTATTGTGATTGGTGAGAGGGGTATTTTGAGGGAGTGGGAGAAGGAAGGGAATGGAAATGGCTAATGGGTATTGGGTAAATAGGGATACGATTTTTGATCGCACGGCGTTGATGGAGAGTGTTAAGGATAGGAAACCGTGGAACAAGACGTATGCCGAGAAGGAGAGGCATAGATAGATGGATGGATGAATGGACAGAGATGGTGTGGGTATTGGGGGGGGGGGGGGGGGGGCAATGAGTCGATTCGCGTGTGAGCGGGGTTCTGGGTCGGCGTTGGAATTGGAATTGGAACTGGAGTTAGATTTCTTTTCTTGAGAGATGGATGGGATTATGTGATGAATAATAATACAATTGATGCATATGCTTGCTATGTTTTGATCGGGTACCGTTTGTGTGTGTTCGCGAATCTCGATGTTGAAATGGGACCTGAAAGTATCGAAATCACCAAAGTGACGTATTGTGGTGGAAACAGAGCATTTAGGAACTATGCCTTCTATAAAAGTGACAAATGCCATCAGAAACACAGGAGAAGGATATATGAACTCGAGAAAGGAAATTTCACGCATTCACTTCCTCAAGTAGTGTTGTGCCACCACTACCGGGTTTTAAGCATATTGGTTACGTCCGGAAGCGATACCCCTGAACAGCAAAATAATTTTTGATTGAAAAAACTCTATAGATTGCTGAAACATCTGCTCCATTAACACAAGAGTCTCTCGTTATTTTCCAAATGATTTCAAATTCGAAGACCCTGACGAAAATTGAGCTTGCAAGTTGATGCAACCGAAATGATCTGCTAATCCCAGATCTTCGATTTTAATTATCCGTTTCATAGAAGACGGCGACCCTGCAATTATTCATCAAGCATTCATGCATCGAATGGCCTCACGTCGCAAATCTTCAAATAGCCAGGAAGCGTACGGAAAAGTCTTTCATACATCGAGGATCTCATCTCGGGTATGGGCGATGAAAGCGAAGGAACTGAATTTAGTGCAACTTCTCAATCTGACACGCACATCATTTTCCAAGGTGCCACGATACTTTCCGAATACTGCGCTTAACCGCGACAATAAGAAGCTTCAATCTTAACACCTTCAGATTGCAGAGCTGAATTGCATGGTACAAGTTGAAAAGAGATAGGTTAATCACTTGCTCTTCATTCGATTGATTATAAATGCTACGTAGCGTAACACCATACAATCGATACTCTCGGCTCAAGTCGCAAACAAGACATAACTGGGTCAAGTAACTTTTCAAAGGCTACATACAGCGGTAGCGTCTGTTAATCTACCGACGTGTACTCATACTCATGAGAATCTAGCTGATGATTTATGCGGCCAGGTCCCCAAATTCGTGAGAGAATGTAAGAATGATTGATATGGAACGCTAATAAGATTAGATGACTTCGAGAGCCTGCAAATGAGCCACGATTGAGTTGAGGTGATTGTGAAGGCCAGATCAATTCATTCTGTTCAGCACTAAATACGAATCGAGATGATGTCGCGTTGTCTACTCATTGAAAAAATAATATAAGTGTATAAAGAGATTAAGATAGCAAGATTGAGAATACTGTATTGTGTGCTGCATTGTGATGAAGCAATTGAGTAGATTTTGAATGGAACATGGCAGGAGAAGTGGTCTTCTACCCACTTGGCAAACAGTGAACGTATACAATATCTCTTTTCGAGACGAGAAGATTCTAATCCTAGTAGAGTGCTGTGGTTGATGAATGACCCTAGAATTAGATGAGCATCTCCAATCGATCGTCGGGTGTCCCCGAAGCCTGCACTTCAAAACAATTGATAGATGCGAGGTGTTGAACTACTTCCAAAGTCGCTGCGATTCAAACAATAGCGTCTCCTTTTGAAGAAAGAAATTGAGAAGGCCGGAGAGTAAAAAGAGGCATAAGTCATGGAAACGCACTTTCTCGAGTCTTCCTGACGACAAAGAAAGTTCAAACGCACATGCAAATAGTCAGAGTAGAAAATGCAATAGCAAGATGAGACAGCTGGTGTTCGATAAGAAGAAGATATAGAGCAAATAGACCAATCAAACACCTCCGAACGCACACCCATATCTAGACTTCTAGCACGTAAGGAGGTCACCCAGAGCTATTCTAACTCAGATTGGTTTATCCAGATCCACCTTTCGATGGATGGATAGATATGACTTGATTATCAAGCAGTTCTGAATTTCAAAGCAGCTCTTGGATTTCAAATCAAAGATCGACTCAGATGTCGTCTATTCACAATATGGTCAATCACTACCACATACAGTAACTCCGCCATGCAGCAACTCCGACGCGTAGGAGTTTTCGAATAAATGTAATAAATCAACCACACAACCTTATTGATTTCATATTTGGATGAATAAAAAAGGTCAATGAGATTGTATCAATATATTCATTGGAATCTCTTTCCTTTATACTGTTTCTCGTCATCAAATTAATACCGGTTGAATATTGAGGTTGTATTTTCGACTTTAGGTCGATGTTAAAAAGATGTTTTTTGAAAATATCGACTTTATGAAAACAATTAAATGATAATGAGCAAAATAATGGATTTTGATTCGAACTACAGAAGCAGTTAAATGCTAATATAGCCCTGTATAAAGTTTAGCATTATGCAACATATAGTTTTGAAAAAATCCTATGCGTCGGAGTTGCGGCTTTCAATCATCTGAGGTGGTTGACTATGTTATGAATAGCCTATAAGTAGGTATGAGCGCATCTTCCTTCCTATAAATTTCAGTCATACATCGATACAGTGGACATTTTACCTATTCTTTCACATTTGTACCTCATACAACCAGGAACAAATTACTCAAGATCGAGTATTAGCTTGAATAAAAAAGTATTGTTATTACCTGACCGATGATGGCGCCTTATAGGACCAAAGCAATCAATGCCAGAGCAGAGAACGTTGTCAGCAGCTATTCCTTTCCCCCTCCAATCTGATTCTAGTGGCTCTCTTTTAATCAAACCATAGCCATATTTCACACCTGCTCAAAATCCTCCATCCGGAACAGCAGTAAGCTCTTCATTGAAGGCTCAAATCATCCCAAAACTTTTTCAACCATTGACCATTAGAGGCGTAACTTTCCAAAATAGAATATGGGTGTGTACTTTCAAAATATCATATGACGAAAGGAGACTGATGATATTAATTTTCGACGTAGGTTTCGCCATTATGTCAATACTCGGCTGAAAATGGGAAAGTAACACCATGGCACATGTCCCAAATCGGTGGCTGGGTCACGCGTGGTCCTGGTCTTACTATGGTAGAAGGAACTGCTGTTTCAAAAAACGGGCGGATCGATCCTAATGGAGTAGGCCTTTGGAATGAGGAGCAGCTTGAAGCGTTGAAAGCGATTGTAGAATTCACACATTCCCAGGCACGTAAAGATCTCCAGTATCCAACTCTGCTTGAACGTGTCAAATTTATGATCCCACTTCCCCAATGCATCTCTTTTCCGACCGTTCCTTATTTTAGGCAATTGCTGATACTCCAACGTTCAATAGAGCCAACACATCGGTATTCAGCTCATGCATGCAGGCCGAAAAGCTTCCACGGTTGCACCATGGCTGGGAATGGGAATGCAACCGAAGAGACAGGTGGTTGGCCTGATGATATTATCGGACCAAGTCCAGTGCCCTACAGTGAAGGCTCTTTCATGCCTAAAGAAATGACGCTCTCCGATATTGCAGATTTCAGAAAGTCTTGGGTAAGCTCTGTTGAGCGTGCCTTACGAGCCGGGTTTGATGTCATTGAGATCCATGCGGCTCATGGATTTCTTTTTCATCAATTTCTAAGCCCTGTCAGTAACAAGAGAACAGACGAGTATGGTGGCAGTTTTGAAAATCGCATCCGTTTGCTTCTCGAAGTAATTCAGGATACTCGGCTTACGATACCCGAGACAATGCCTTTGTTCTTACGAATCAGTGCAACAGATTGGTTAGAGGAGACTGGAATTGATGGTTGGACTCTTGAAGATAGCGCGCAATTAGCAGTAAAAGCTGCAAGCTTTGGCGTAGATTTTATTGATGTATCTTCTGGTGGCTCCCATCCAGGACAGATCATCAAAGTCGGCCCCGGGTACCAAGCTGGCTTTTCAAAATACATTAAGAGTGCTGTTAAGGACAAAGCCTTTGTCGGTGCTGTTGGTAGCATCACAAACGGCGTGCAAGCTAATGGACTTCTTGAAGAGGGCCTCGACGCCATCTTCAGTGGAAGAATGTTTCAGAAAAAATCCTGGTCTGGTTTGGTCGTGGGCGGATGATTTGGGGTAAGCTTCCACCAATGCAAACCATCCATAGAGACTACTAACCTAAGCGTAGGATTATTGTACATGCTGCAAGACAAATACAATGGGTTTCAAGAAATTCCCAACCCACTCCATAGCCTGAAAGTTCTAGCGAATAGTGCATGACTTTCGCGTTTGTACCTATTCATCTCCTTAGATCATGTTATGAAGCACCAATATGGTATACCAATATGGTATCAGAAGAGAATGAAAATGAGGGCCGAGAGGAAGATGATATCATTCTTGTAGATTGCAAAGTATATAGACGGTATGGATACACACAGACAACTTCTACAAGCAAATATATATTATCGATGCTTTGCCTTCCTCTCCTCCAAATTTGCGTGCAAAAGTTAACATACCGGGCACAGCTTCGAGAAAATTTCCTATGTAGGTAGATACACTGCTTGTTAATCGCCATCACCGCTTTCCTGGCCTCGAAGATCGAGACAGTAGATCGTGAGCGTGGGAGACATGGCAGCAACACTTGTTACAGCATCATCAAAATTCTCAATAAGTTGAATACTTTAACTTTCTTTGTGATTTATAAATTGAGCACTGCGAGATTTTCTTCTATCTCATTGTGATACCTTCGCTAGTACCTGTGTTTTCTGTGATGTGGTTTGTTGTTGCAACCTTCAACTTGTTGAAGGTTGAAGTGTCTCGAGTGTTAAGTGAGCTTAGGAGGGATGAGCTAGGACGTCTAAGTGCACCGTGCCCCTTTAATCAACCTCACAATATGTCACGTGTTATGTCTTCCCGTGTATCGCTTCACTGCCCATTGATTGTCGTGGATCGTCTTGTTATTTTGGGAATCCAAGAATATGTGAGGGTAGCACATACTCTTTGTTGTAGCATCTCGATGGCAGCTGCTTGATGTGCTTGATGGTTGAATAGAGTTCGGCCAGTTTCTAATCTTACACAACTGACACCCTTCAAAATTAAGTTCGAATTCGCCGATATGGAAAACCGGCAACATATACAACTCACTATTGGGCGATAAACTTTCACCAGGCGATTATAAGAGATACAGTGGAAGTATCTTGAGCAAGTCAAACCAGAGAGGGATGAATGTACTAAGTAGATTAGTGGGAGATGATACAATCATACAACTACTACCATTTACGTACTTATTTCGTTCCTGCCGTGTTTGTGTTTGTGTAATGTATCCTATACCTCATATGGTTAATGGCAAAAGAGGCATATACGATCAATGGGGTCACCGTTACCTACATCATCCATTCACCATCGAAACGATATATTGAGCCGTGATTTCACTCTTCTCAACTTTCTCGGTGTTCTAGTACACCCAAAACGCGTCACATCACGACATAATATCGAGTATCGAATACAAAACACCACAGATCATCTTGTCAGACATTTGGCAAGATGACTACGTTTGATATTGTTGTCATTGGCTCCGGTATGAACTACGTTATCTTCTCTTCCTTTGTCATGGAATACTTTACTTGTTGCGTCTAAAATTACGAATCGCTGACTTTCATATAATGTTCCATAGGCCTAAGTGGCTTGGCATTTGCCAGATTCTACCTTGATATTCATCCAGAAGCGGAACTAGTTATTATTGAAGAGGATAGATGCCTTGGTGGTGTTTGGAGTGAAAGTAAGTGTTGTTTATTTTCTGGCTGTTTGCCTCGCTATTCAATTTTCATTTGTATATACTGACGTTTGTGTGTAATCTCAAGGACGATCATACGATAATTTCTGGTGTCAAAGTGGCCGACGAATGTCTGGATTCTCGGATGTTCCCCTTACTGTCCCCGAAGATGCGCCTTTATACCATGATACATTCGAAGCAAAGTATGTCACCAATTATCTCGAGGAGTATGCGCATAATCATATATACAACGGAAAAAGTATCTTTTCTAGGATACATTTCTACTGCAAAGCTGTCAAGATCAATAAATCTTATGATGGATGGGAAGTCATAACAGAACTTCCAAGCCATCTCAAGGAAAAGCATCCAAGTCAACTGCCGATTACCCATGCATGTCACAAGCTTGTTGTAGCTACTGGCCGTACTTCGTATCCTAGGATACCTTCAATTGATTGGGAATCGAGTATGAGATTTGTTCGTCACCATAAAGCTTTTGGGGAATTATCACAGCAGCCATTACCTTGGGCCAGCGGTGTACTATTCTTTGCAGTTCTTGGTGGTGGCAAGTCTGCAGCAGATATGGTCTACGAGTTAGCTAAGAAAGGTCAGAACGTCAAATGGATTATTAGAGCAAGTGGCGAGGGTCCAGCTCTACTGTTTCCCGCCCCTGGCCATGGGCGCTACAAGAATTCAGTCGAAAGTTCGGCAACTAGGCTCAAAGCACTCTTTAGTCCATCTCCGTTTATGCCAAATACTTGGTGGTTCTCCATCATTCGAACCTTGATTTATGGAACTCGCACTGGGATGAACTATATGATTCAGAGAATAAGGAATGTTGATCAATATTGTCGTAATATAGCAGGATATGACAGCAGACCGGAATCTTTGGAGGGATTTAAGCTTCTTGACTTCAGTTCTTCGTGAGTCTGCCCCAATTATGCGAGAAACGAACACTGACATCATTAGTGCATTTTGGTGTACTGGACCTGTAGGACTTGTACAGCACGATGACTTTTGGGAAACGATATCTCAGAATGTTCAAGTCTACCGGAACGATGTTGTTTCTTACAAAGACAACATCATAACTTTAGACAACGGCAAGCAACTTATAGCAGATGAGTTATTATTGGGAACGGGCTGGGATCCCCAGCAACAGTGTTTTGGCGATAAAGAAGCTTATTATCTCGGTCTTCCTCACTTTAAGTCAATGGAGGGTATCAAAGAAAGATCGTTTTGGGATCAGCTCTATGAGGAGGCAGATCGTCAAGTGATCGCCAAATTTCCACTCCTTGAAAACCCTCCTCCACACCAAAAACGCGCTTCCCCTGATACAACAGTACAAAGACTATACAAAGGTATCGCGCCACTTGCAGATGATTCAATCGCGTTTCTAGGGGCTATAGATATTTCTAACTCTTTTCGCGCTGCCGAAACACAGGCGATCTGGACAACAGCATATTTCGACGGTAATATAAAACTACCTCCATTGGAACAAATGCTGGAGGAAATAGCATACATGGGGGCCTTTTCAAAACGAAGATACCCTACTCACGGTCAAAAGGGAGAATGCTTTTTCTTTGAGCTTGTTTGGTATACGGATGCGTTGCTTCATGAGGTTGGCTTGAGATCGCATCGGAAAGGATGGTGGGCTGACTTGGTGGAACCTTGTCTTGCATCGGACTTAAAAGGTATGAAGGATGAATACAAGCAGAAGTTTGGATTGTGAGCTTTCTGTTAGTCACTTAAATGATTACTCCTGGGTTCTTGGTAGATTATGGGCAGATAAATATTGCTTCTTCAGGAATTTGTGAACGATTTTTCAGATGGCTAAAAATGCCGTCTTTAACTCAAGTACATAGCACCTGGGTAGATCATCACAACCTTTAGCTTCTCTGATGGTATCTTAATTAGTTCATTTCTGGAATCAATATTTCAAATTACCGAGAAGTATACCAATTCCTCTATGTAGGGATCACTTTATGTAAATTTCACCCAACTATCTAATTAATTTCGGCTCGCTTCAGGTTCAACTCTTTGAAGATAAATAGATCCCCAAAATTTATTCGCATTGTAAGCTCTTCTGAGTAAATCATAATTATCTAACAATTGTTCCCTAGCGTCTCTCAGAATTCCATATCAGAGCTTCGGTTGAAAGCGTGGATTCGTTCTAATTCTCTCCCCATATCTCAACACTAGCAAAGCAATTGGCACGAATCCTATTGCAATGAACGCCAAGACACTGTTACCCCACCCATACCCTAAACGATCATATAAGGGATTAGCACTCAACGGGATCAAAGTTGAACAGATCGAACGGATGATGGTGCATGCTCCAGTAGCGCTCGCAGCATAGATAGTATATGTATCTACAAGATACATCTGTACTGGCAGATAGCTAAATAGAATACCGATAGCAATAACCGAACTTCCGAGAACTGGGACGATCCAATGGGTGTGATATTCAAGAGACCATCCGTACCAGAAAAATCCGACGGGGAGGAGAAATGCACCGATGAACATGGGTGGCAGACGATATTCCGGGCGCTTGTCGTTATTTCTCGCTTCCATTTTGAGCATATAACGGTCGGAAATTTGAGCAAGGGTTAGTTGGCAGAAGAGGAAGCCAAACATGAGACCGAGATATGCTAGACCGCTTTGGCCGGGTGTAAAGGAGTAGTTGTTTTGAAATACGGTGCCGAGGGTCGCGAAACATACCATTCCGTAGGCGTTGCTTAGAGCACTGTAGAAGCCTACAAAGGGAACGATAGGTGAGAGGAAGAGAAATTTGAAGGGACGGGTCCAGGCTGCTTGCAGAGTTTCTCGAGGAGTTTTGAGGGCTGTGATATTTTGACTTGCGGGTAGGCCTGTTCCCCCTTTATTTTGCTTTCGATTCAAGACTACTGGTGCATACGTTTCTCTAAGAATGACAAGAGATAGAAAGAACAGAACACCAAACTGCAGGGTTGTTAGATATCTGAAAGTGATACATCTGGGAACACTTACAGCAATCAACGTTGAGTAGAAGATCCATGTCCAACTGATGTTTTCCACGATATAACCACCGATGACAGGACCTAAGTAGATGAGTCTTTTGACCAAACTAAGAGCCAAGAAAAAAACCGACCAATAGTTGGACCCTAGAAGTAGTTAGCAAGAAAACATATCTTAATCGTATCGAAACTCTACATACCACGACAGGCCCGGTAGACATAATACTCAATGCCAATCCTCTTTGTTCCCTGGGAATAAGATCTGCCACGATTGCAGGACCCATGAGTACGAACGTGATAGCCGCAAGCCCCATGATAGCACGGAACACTACAAATAAAGGAAGACTTCTGCTCGAACCACAAACAGCTAGAGCTAGCATAAAGCCAATGTGTCCAGGATATAGTACAGTCACATGTCCGTATAATTCACTTATAGGAGCGACGAGAAGAGGTCCGAGACAGTAACCTATGGTGTAGATGAGATGGTGAGAGAGGCGATTGAACCGTTGGTAGAGTGAAAATCAGCCATTATGGAAGGGAGCGCCGGCTCGAATGCTGAGGTACATGTTGATCTGTAATATTTAGCTGCTAGATCAGAGGGATTTGGATTTTTTGCGATGATGAGCCCTACGCTATGAAGTTTGTGACGATGAGAAGGACTATAGTTGTCCATTTACGCATAGAAGACCAGTTTGTTGGATTCTGGGGATCAATTGACCAATTGGAGAGCGATGGATTATCGTTGCTGAGATCATGCTCATTCACGAGTGGCTCTGAGGCCTGCTTTTCCTTTCCAAAGAATGGAAAACATCACTGTTTGAAGGATGAAGTGAAACATCTTCCGCGCTTGTATCGTGTACCTCGCAAGGGGAGTCTGTACACGTTGTAAGTTGAGGCCCCGATGCCATTTTCACATGTAACAACTTTAAACACGGGAGCAATCTCAAAAATAAAAGCCACAGTTTGATAGATTCAAGCCCATGGAAGAATCAAGATCACAGAGAAGATTGTTGTGGGAATCCAGTTGAAGTACCTGTGGAAAACTCAAATTCGCCTTCGGGTATGACTGGTTTCCTTACGAGGCGTTCTCGTAAGTACCTAGGAACCTTTTGTACGTTTTTTGTCACAAATTCGCCTCATAAAATGATTAAATACAGGATGATAGGTGCCAAATATCTCTCGAGGTCCACATATTTTGAAAGGGAACGTTGAAATGGTAGCACAAACTATCGTCCCATTGGAGCAAGAGCGATTGTGCTCGGCAACCACAACGGGTAAGAGTGGTGGTGCCAGAAATGCTATCACAACGAGTGTCCCCGACGTAAAAGCTTAATAAAGCCGTGGATCCGGGTCGTGTATGCCGGATCAGTCTTCGTTGACATGTAGTGCATCTTGTGTGACGGCAAAATCTCGTTTTCTCGCCGTAAGGCTAATCAATGGAACACAATGTAACCCTAAGCCTGGTTAGTACGACCAGCTTGTACATTCTTTCTCTTCCGAATATTCAAGCTTTGCCTTTGTGTTTGACAGACGTGCGGATGACTTAGCCAAGACTCGTTAATCGAAGTATCTTGCTGAGGGCTTCCGGTTTATCGATGGAGTAGTACCGGCTCTGTCTAACTGAATATCCGATTTTCAAATGGCATCATGAAGATAAATCATTGCAGTCAGGTAGATGCAATGGATATATATCGTTTTGTCAAGACTAAAAATACTAACTAAATAACTCGTATACATGAGCCCAACTGAAAGTTAACACTCCCCAAGATCAATCATGAATCATCTCGGACTTTTTATAGCTCCTCCCTTTCAAGTATTCAGAAAAAACATCCCAATTAACACATTCACGTTTGGATTGTGGACTTGCATTCATATCGTGTCTTTTATTACCAGACCAATAGTAGGGAAGAGGTGCTAGATCCGGTTGACAGATCATAGAGGAACGAAGAGATTCGAGACAATGTACTGAGACTGGTTAGTCATTTGGTTTTAAATGAATATTAATTGAAGATCAACCTACATTGGTGATGTCTATCATCTGCTCGATCTTCATCCGTCCAATTGGCATAGTAATGTTCTGGGAAAAGGGACTGTCGGAGTCGTCTCTAAAGGGCAGCGCCAGGTAATAAGCATTCAATCATCGCATGATTAGTGAAAAAGAGCTCATACCAGACAGTGAAGATTATGATGAACTGTAAGAATGACAGCAAAGTTGTTGTCCTGTAAGAGTATACTCTTGTTAATGTCTAGCCTTGCAGCTTCCTCGCGGTAAAGCCTAACACCATGTCCTCGATTTGCTGGAGAAAATGAGTTTCTGAAGGTACAATTTGTGTTATAATTGAGCCTACTAACGATGTATAAGATTGTTCCATGCCCGTTCTGATTCATCGCATGGCTCTCCCATGTAAATGTTATTTGCCCAAAGATCAGATGGAGCTGTTTCGATTTCGTACCGAATCCCATCTGCAAAGGGAGCTGAAGCTCTGTTAGAATAAAAACAATTTCTGGAGAAGCAAACGTGTAGATACTCCACAATGATGGACAGTGACTTGATTTCATTTCTGGTAGTCTGAGGAAGGTATTTCGACTCGAGGAAAGTAGTGTAACCATGCCAATGAGAGTGAATGCGGCGACAATGCCGTATATCATGATCAACATGGTCCATGATCGCAATCTCCCTGAAGGTTTTAACTTGGGAGATGTATTTCCGCAATGAGGACAATTTCTATCGTCATCACCATGGCTTTTTTCCTCTGAGAGCAATCCTCTAGTATCTTCAGATGTATGAAGGATCATAACGAATGTTTGGAGGATGGATCGGATGTAAAGAGAAGATTTGGACACGATCGAAATACAGAGTGGGGGTGTAGCAGATGATAAGAGCTGATTAAGGCTCAATTGGTGGAACTTTAACGGTCATACAAAGTATTTTCGTACTAATACTAACTGCACACGAAAGTCACTTCATCGCATCTTTCACCGCATAATATCCGGAGCCCTGCGCAACTGCACATGCTTCGATATGTGGATACGGCACTCGACAGTTAACATTTGGTATGATTGATGGCGTCTAGATAGGTGCGCGTGCTTGAATCGTATCACCTCGTCATTGGGAAATCGTTCTCTATCGAATAGCAACGCGAAATGAGATTAAGATTGAATCTGTATATCCTTGCGTAGCCCTATCAGTGTGAGAGTACGAATACAATGTTATACTTTCAGATGATCGGTTGGCGTACAAATTAAATACACAGTTAAGATATCGCTTTTCAGAGTTACATGCCATTGCTGTATTCAAGATATATATCTAGAGAGTTGCCAAGTAAAATGCTTCGCTAAAATCAAAAGCATAGTCTTTCCTTCTCGGCAAGAAGATCTCACAGCATCAAAAAACGTCCTCGAAGCGTCAGCCGAACCTCGAAAATTGAAAATCGACTTATACATTCTTCGTTATGCGTTTCCAAACTTTCCTCCTCGCAGTTTCTCTTATTGGCACGGCCATGACTATGGCTATTAGCCCCAGTAAGCTACCCACTAAGCATTATTCCACTGCAAAACTCACATAGAAATAGGGATTGAGACAAACTCTGACCTTGCTGCAGAGGGTGCACTTGAGGCACAGCCTAATCGTAATGATTGGTGATGGTTTTCGAGCTTCGAGGTCCGAATGAAGATTCGGTGGACGGAAGATACGTGGAAGGGGGGGCCAATGCTAGGGCAATTTGCGTGATGATAACCCGAATATGAGATGCCACGGCTTTAAATGTCCCTCTTCTATGTGGAATTCGGTCAGAGGATAGACTGATTTGTGAGCTGCGGTCCGACCGATTTGAATGAATAGATTGGCCATTGGAAATGTTTTGCGTGCCAACATCATCTCCTTCTCTTTATTGACGAATACCCATGTAAAATATGATGTTTGGGGGTTGCAGTCTGGAACGAACACTGCCATATTCGCCCACGAATCTGTCTCTATGTCGAGGTTGAATTACAGCATGGCTTTCGTTCTCTTAGGGTGTTCTTTCTCCCAAATCGAAGCTATTTTCGCTTCCATTTCTGATCGTTGCTTCAGAGCTTCATATAAATCCTTGTACACACCGCCAATTTCAAGAAGATTGGCTGGTACACCTCGATCATAATCAAAAAACACTATGCATATTTTGAAATCTGCAACAATAACTTGCTGGTTCAAAGACCAGACGGAGGTAATACCAAAGTAACGATCTGGGAATACCTCAGTGATATGATTCGCGACAATAAGCTAGTTCGTTTCGTGAGCCCAAATTCAACAGCATCTCACACAAAAAACTCATACCGAATCTGGGAATTTCACAGGCCTTTTGAAATTAACTGTATAGTTCTTGACAACAGGTCCAACGCCGCGGACCTTGAGCATATCCTGAAATTTCTCTTTGCCCAAATACGGTTCGAATGATTGGAATTCGCGAAATGCGCATTGGTTCACATAATGCACGTAAGCTGCGTTCTTCACGTGCTGGAATGGATCGTGATCATCGGCCCAAGTCACTCCACATTCAACCATGGTTGCCGGATTGTATCCCATTGCGATGGCTTCTTCGATCGCTTTCTTACGAAGAGGTGCGTAAGCAGAACCGCCATCGGGACTTTGATAGGAGGAAGACTCTAGAGCGGAGCCGAATTTCGTAACTGAAGCCATCGTCAAAAATGGAATATGTTTAAAACTCTCAAAAGGTTCAGATAAATTTGAGCTTCTATAGGTGGGCGTTCCTCATAACAATGTTTGGAAATGCTAATGATCGAAAAATCATCGATGAGTGGAAGGCTTTTCTTTGTATTCGTAGAATTCGAATTGTCTAATCGGCGTCCCACTATCAATTCTTGAATGGCAGGGATTTTCGAAGCAACGTGGCGGCGGCAGCACCCGGAACCACAGCTAAAACACAGACATTATAGGGGCCCCACAACAAAAAAGCACAGTAAACCGATCTAAAGTCGTGAATGTCTTCCTATTTTCTATCCAGTTAGCTGGCTAAAGCTATTGGTACGTAGCATACTGTACATTTATACAACCCAAGCTCCATTTTCGCCTTTTTATGGTATATGCCCTGCCTCATCTACTCCTACTCCGCGAAACTTCATAAATCATAGAAAGTTGATGCCTACTCCGAATTGGAGGCCCTTTCTAGTTTCCTCTCCTTTTCTAACAACGATGGGTAGGCCAAAGTTTAATTCAAATCGTGCCACGGGGTGTGCATACACCATTCCTATTCCGACAGCCAAGCTTGGGATCTCCTTGCCGAGTTCTGCGACTGTGCCGTATACGCTCTCACTTGCATTCTTTTCCGAGTTTTTAAGTGCAAGGAGACGGCCGGCATTGGCGAATAACTGGAGGCGCAGTGGGGTTGACACGTCGAGGCGGGGAAATGGGAGAAGAAGGTTAATAGATGAAGCTGCGTAGACGTCACCTCCAACTGCATCTTGTCTGTCTCGAGGTCCAAGACCGCCAATCTTAAATCCACGAACATCCGTCGGTCCCCCGAGTTGGAATCTATCGTTTATGCGTGATGGCTTGGCTGCAGTACCGAATCCAACGCCTAGCGGATACAACATTCCTGCTCTGATACCAGCGGTCAAGCTTGCACCAGATATCCCAGGAACTTTGACAGCCCCACTAGATTCGACTTCCGATTTCCAGAATCCCACATCTCCTTTTAGTGGTCCCCAACCTGCAATTTCAGATGTTGACTTTAAAAGGTATCCTTGGTTTGGTAGTATAGGGTGATTCCGTTCGTCTTTAAGCCAGATATGTGAGATACTGCTCTTGACTGTATCTCCTGCATCGTTGCGTACCGTAGGTGACGCATTTCCAGCCAAGCCCGTCACTTGTCTCCATACTCCACTGTATCCAATTTGATGTGTGCTGCCACCGCCTGAAGCCCAACTATATTTTATACCCCCGCCCTTGAGGACTTCTTCGTGACTTGCCCACGGCTTACTAGTCGCGCTCGACAAAACATCTACAGCTACTCTTTTATCGGGATCACTCAAAATTGGAGCCTCGAATGTAGCTTGATACGCAGAACGAGTTCGAGTACCAGTAGCAGCGTTGAAATTCAAGGTCTCGGCACCCCCGAATATGTTACGCCATTGGGCATTTCCATAGGCTGAGCCTTCCGCATTGCCAAGATCAGTGCCAGTTTTCAGTGTAATAACGCCTCGCTCTCGTGCACGAATGTATATATCGATATCGGAAGGAGTAGAAGAGGGGTCAGTAGGGTCAGGTTTATCAATGAACATCGAGATGTCATCGTGGAAAATGCCTAAGACGGAGTAAGTATAATGTTGATTAGATCATAGTGAGGAGTATCGTACCATGTCGACGGAGTTTGTTTGTAGCTGTACTGAGTTCCTGCAATGCTTCCGACAATGTATATGGTCCATCTCTGTTTGCACTAAGCAGAGGATCGAATATTCCGTCGAGGAATGACCTCCTTGTGTGCGAGGGGCCAAGGAGTCTAATCGAGGAGATTGTGACCGGTTTTGTGGAATTATTGCCAATCTATTCCGTGAGCCCATGAAAACATAAACTCTCGAAGCTACTACATGTACATACCAGCTCTCCATTTCTCTGTGCAGCCTCTAAAGCATATCCCATATGCTTCTCTGCTATAGCTTTCTCCAGCTCCTCTTGTGACTTGGGATCGGTTTTTAGGAGACTCTCGACAAGCTGCAACCAAATACATTAGCAACTTCACTGTACTAAAATGCTCCGAACTGTAGAAATAAACTCACAGCCCCCTTTGGCCCATTTGGCGAAGTCATATCGTATAAGTCTACCCAGAATTATTCCAGGTTCTCTGATTCTCAATCATACAGCGGGGAGGCTTTAGTTCAAACACCTTCGATGACTAAGCAGGAAACTAATAATAGGTCTATTGCACTTCCTGCATCATTGAATCATCCCTAATAAAACCCAAAGCATTCCATGTGAATCTTCTGTTACGAACAACCTACAACTCGCACATTCTAATTGACTTTTTGACAACTCAAAGAGACATTTTGGTTCTGACTGGATTTATTATCCCAACCAAAGAAAATCATCCATCAGACATACTCAAGAACCTTGCGTCAGATCCCCGAACATCTTGTATCCTCACACGCAGCGCAACAAGGCCAGCGTATCCTCAAAGTTTCAAGTGCGACGATAAAATGGCAAGTCGAGCTGCCAACAAACGGGTATGTAAATCAACATGTACATGGCAGTCTGCTTTCATCTGTTTTATGATTAACATATACTGATATAGTTAACCCGTGAATACAAAACTATCTCCGAAAATCCTCCTCCATACATCGAAGCCCATCCCTCCGAATCTAATATCCTCGAATGGCATTACATCCTCACCGGACCTCCCGATACTCCCTATCATGGTGGACAATACTGGGGTACCCTTCTGTTCCCTCCCAACTATCCATTTGCGCCTCCCTCGATTAAAATGCACACGCCATCCGGGCGTTTCCAACCCTCCACTCGTCTTTGTCTATCGATCAGCGATTTCCATCCTAAGAGTTTCAATCCCGCGTGGGAAGTGAGCACAATATTGATAGGTCTATTAAGTTTTATGACAAGTGAAGAAATGACAACAGGTTCGGTAAACGCATCTAAATCGGAAAGAAAATGGGCTGCGAGTAGGACGAGATGGTGGAATAGCACCGGAGGAGGAAGTTACAAGAAAGACGGAACACAGAAGGGCAATATCAAGGCCGGAGACGGAGGCGCAAAGTTTAGAAGTGAATGGGAAGAGTTGGATAAGGAG